TTATATATATATATAATACAAACTACAGAGTTCCGACTGATGTACGTAAGTATATTACATAAAAGTGTTTTTTTATTATTACAAGGATTTTCATCTGGCAATTGATAATTTTTATTTTCATTTCCAAGATAACGTGTTTTCGAGAATAAATTGAATTCGTATTCATGTTTTATATGCTCAATATAAAAAAAATTGTAGTTCTTTTGTGGTCTTAAAAGGACAACCAGCAACTTAAAGCAGGCCCGTAAGCAGAATGTTTGAAAGGGGGGGGGGGGTTCCGATTTGTGAGATCAAAACCCAACACATATTGTTCGAAGCCCCAATCATCAGGCAAAGCATGCTAATACTACGGGGGTTTGGGGCATGCGACTATTTCAAGCCAACAAAATGATAATGAAGAAAGTGTACAGTAGACTATGTAGAAAACGTTAGATGCCATAAGCAGCTGTGCTATAACTATATAAGCATATTTTTTACATCACAAAGATGGGGGGGGGGGGGTTCAACTGAACCCCACTTGCGTACATGCATGTAAAGTTTTCGTTTTTATTTACTACTGTATTTTATTTATTTTTTATTTCAGGAGAAGTACAAACGCTGAGATACGAGTCCAAAACAGAGATATTTCAAACGACGGACAATCGCACCATTCCGTCACCATCATTCGAAACTTCATCTTCCGCAGACTTTACATCTTCTTCCTCAGCTAAAGCACAATTTTTTCAGGAAGATCGAATAGCTGCTGAAAGATCCGACAACGGTTATACTGATACTGGCCTGTTGACCAGCAAATCTAATGAAGGAGTAAACAACGAAAGACATTCTGCGAAGGAACAAAACGAGATATACATTAGGAGATTAAATTCTTTGGCGTCAGATATTGAAGAAGATTTGAGCTTATTAAGAGTACTTTCACCATCCATTATGCCCTTAAAGAAATCCAAAAAGAAAGACTCGGTTGATCAAGGACAGGCTTTCAACTGTAAGTTTTTTATTGCTTTTCATAGATAGTGTGTATGTGTCTTTTACATTTAGTAAGTGTTATTTCCTTTTTTTTATATTCGCTTGTAATGATTAAAATAATTAAATGTGATGTAAGAGAGCCAACTTAGATCACAAATTTAGATGCTGTTTAAGACATTGGAAAATAGATACAGACACAATAAACTAATGTCAGACTTTCGCGTGACACTCATTAGTCAATACGAATGGGGGACAAGGATGTAATCACACCCATGATAGTTTGATTGACAACTGGGGGACAACTGTTTCATATTCCAACGGTTTTCTTTATTCTTCCTTTTTCCCAAAATTTGACAAGTATTTAATAAAAATTTACTTTGATTGAGAAAAGTATGTGGTGATCGGGTTTTTGTTATCATTGATTTTAGGTTTAATTAACTTTAGGCCTAATGCCCTTTGATATCTTTTAAAACACAGTTTAATTACACTGTTACTGTTTTCCACCACATACATACATATAAACTTGAGATGCTAAAGTGCATAAAGCAGTACACGGGATTTTAAGATTATTATAATTAGATAACAGACGAACGCGCACTCCTGCATTATTTAAACATCCGAAACAATCAACACAATTTTCCCCATTTTTTTAAATAAAGAACATTTTCGTTTATTGTTTAAATTTAATGGTTACAAGTCAATATGGTTGAGCGAGTGGCGAGTGCTTTTGAATTATTCGGTAAAAGAAAAAAAAAGAGGACAAAACAGTTTTATTTCATCGGTTAAAAGTTCTACATTTACACATTGTCACGAACTAACAATAGGCCTAACTTCACAAATAACACCAAACAGTCACTTGTTGTTTTCACGTATCTACAGTACTTCTTGTATCGCTATATCTTCGTCGAAAAACAAGTTCAATATTCATGAAATTGAAATAACAGACAAACCGACTGACAAACTTGCTAACTCAGAAATCAATCAACCATCGTACCAGACTCACAATAAAAAAATTAACAGTCTTTGCTGGCTTCCGTGCCTCACTATAGATGTGAGGATTCATTGGTCCGTTATAAAAGTGACAGTTATATCCCACTATTAGGTCAGACAAGAGTAGCCAAAGATCCGGTGGTCAGTTTTCTTCACTAGCTGCTTTCCATCTAGTCTATCAGTTTAAAATAAGACAACTACCTTGAGTGATTTACATGAATGAATATCTGAAAAACAAGAAACAATTTTCTAATGTTGCCTAACTCGTGTTTTGTATCGTTCAAAACGTTTCCTAAACCTTCTAGTCATTAAACCACGCGCCCCTCTCGTGACGTAAAGAAATTCCATGTAACGTAAAAACGGTACAGTGTCTAAATTCAAACAAATTATGGCCTACAACAATATGTAGTCTGCCTTTATTATGGCACAGCGGCATGTCTGCAGACTTACAAACCTTCTTGAAACCGGGTTTCGATACCCGTGGTGGGCAGAGCACTGATAGTCCATCATGTAGCATTGTGCTTAACTTCAAAAAAACAAACAAGCATAGATATTCGTAAGCCCAGATGGAACATTTTTCACA